TGTGATAGCTGTAGGAGTCCCAGTGGCATCTATAGGAATCTCAGGTATCTCAGTGACGGTGTCAGTGAACTGGCCAAAGGTGGGAGATGCTACATCAATATTCCTTTTCTTCTGCGCAGCCCCTGTTCCTTTTCTCAGCAGTGGGTGGATGAGCTTCTCTGGGTTCTTTTCCTTTTCTGTAGGCTTGGGCACCACCCCTGTATCATATCATAATTGGGTAATCAGGGATGGGAAGAATAAGCTCTTGGTCCGTTCTGCTACCACCTCTGCTATCTCATCGGCAATGAGCTGCCCTAAGTTCACCGGTATACCCTCCATGATAGCACAGATCACTCTTGCCTTCTCAAGTGTCACCTCTGTCTCATTTTTTGAAGGCACGATGCGAGCACAGATAATGGAGAGCCAAGTCTTGGCCTCCGCAGTGAATTCTGAAGACTCGATCCTGGAGTGATTCTTTATCTAGTTTGGCACCTGTCCACCATGCAAATGAGTGATGAAACACTGGATACCCAACTCCTGAGCTCGCTCCCTGTACACCTGATTGTTGGCATTTGTGAGATTGTAGTGCGCATTGATCAGCTCTGGACTAAAACGGACTTCTTTTCCTCTGACAGTAGCCACCAACTCATTATTGAAGTCCGTCTCTACAGCATTTGCATAAAATTCTCTTACGACTTCATGGTTGGCTGGCCTGGGCTCTTCAGCAAAGCAAACCCATCCACTTGTGATTAATCTCCCATGGAACTCGGGCCATCGGCTTTCAAGGTCGGTCAGGAGGATGCCTCTTTCCCTAATCATGCTTTTGGATAGTTGCTTGTCATAGCGTTGAGAGCATCTAAGGGATGAGAATGTGTCAGCATCAAAATAATCCTCTGTGGCAGCTTGTTCGGCATATTGTTGCACATTTTCATTTGTTGCCGGATCCATTTTAGAGCTCAAAGTGCCTACAAAAAGAGTATACATGTCAAACAACCATATGGGCACTTAAAGCATTGCATTTAGAGGTAATTAGGCCAAAGAAAAAAATTAAAAAGCTTTTGGAATAGATTTAGTAAAGCTACTGGTTTGCTGACTTGGAGCTAATGAACCGCGATCGCAAAAAGGGGCACGCGATCGCGAAGAAGGAAAGCAGTGAAGTCATGCGATCGCAGATCAGTCCACGCGATCGGGAAGAATAAAGTTGGCCTTCAGCCGAGCTTACGCTACGCGATCGCAAAAAGTTATACGCGATCGCAATTTGCTTTTTCAGACCTTCAGCATGAATAGACCTACGCGATCGCAGAAATGGCCATCGCGATCGCGAGGGTCTTCTTCCTCGTCCAATACCAGTTTACTTAGGCACTTCATCGAACAGGTGGTATGCTTCATTTTACTCGGCCATTTCAGACCACCATATCATGAACTTTCACCCCAAAATTTCATAGATCTTTACTCTAAGTCTCAACCAAACTCACACAGCAAGCAAGCACACAAAATGAACCCAACAATTACCTTTTACACAGTAAACAAAACTTCAAGCCCTAAAATTCGAAAATAGGGCTGCCCATCCTCTAATTCACCATAATAATTGAAATTAAAACTGAGCATAGAGATGGGAATTGACATACCTGGAGGATAATGAAGGATTGATGCAATGGAATTGAAGCAAAGTTGATTTTAGGACTGATTCAGGGGTTTAGGGGAGTAAGGGAGTTTTGTTCTTTGTTTGGGTGAAAATGGGCGTGAGTGGATACCTTCCAGTGGTTATGCACTTAAAAACCATGCATCGTGATCGCGTGGAGAACAGTGCGTTCGCGTAGAACGAAATGGCCAAATGGCTGCAATCGCGTCAGCATTTCTGCGATCGCGTAGAACAAGAAAGTTCCCATTCACTGCGAACGCGCACCTATTCCTGCGATCGCGATGCTTTGCATTTTTCTGCAATTTTCTGTAGCTACTGGTTTGTGGCTGCCCAGTTACCCTGACCTGCTCAAATCAACTCCAAAAATTTTGAAACTTGGCAGATTGGTTAGAAAAAATATAATAAGCTATTCTAAAAAAGAAAATTTCAAAAACGACCAAATTTTTTGAAAACGATGGGTTGCCTCCTACCAAGCGCCGCATTTAACGTCGTGGCACGACGCAAGTCAACTTTACCACTTTTCTCGCCATTTGGATGATATGAACTGGGCACCTAGCTTGGAATCAAGCTTGTGACCACGAGCGATGGGGGGTGGTAAGTCGATGATCAAGACAAGCCTTAAATTCTTCATTTTGCACTTCTCGGCTTTCATGTGAGGAATGTCATTTTGCCTTCTTGTTCCCTCAAATTGTAAGATGAATGGTTGTTGCCTTTCCTCCTAGCAATCCCTCATTGAATCGTGTTGTTCAATTCCCATATCACCACACAATTCCAATGTTGAAAAATGCTTGGAATGTGACTTCAAACCTCCAACTTGCAATTTTTCCCGGATATTGACTTCCCCCGGATTAGAGTCAATCTCAACCACATTTTCATTTACACCGGTTGACTCTAATTCCATATTTTTCTTGGCATCATTAACACTCATGGAGTCGGTTGGCGGATGTTCAATTCTTGATTCCTCGAAGTAAAGCTCACTTTCTTACTCGGAATTGGACTCTTCTTGACTTCCTTCCACACTCTCAAGTTGGTGGGCATAGTGAGCCTCAACCAATATTTTCATTTGCTCTTTCAAAGTGTGAATATGTTCCTATTGTGAGCCAAACCTTGTTTCAAGTCCTCGAGTGCAAAGTTGTGCTTCTCCTCATTTTCAAGAATGGTCTCCAACATGAGCATTATCTTCTCATCTTGAACATTTGAGTGCTCTTCTTGGTTTTGATCAAGTGCCAAGGGAGGATTTTCGGCTTCCACATCTAAGAAAATAACTTAGCTATCATTAACTTCCGAGGATTTTTGGACCTCTAAAGCTTCAAGCATTTCTCCCATTTGTGAATGCAACCTTTCAAGTGCCAAGTCATTTTGGAGACTATTCTCCAAAAGCTCCTCCAAGGCACTTTGTTCTTTGTTTCCTCCTTCGAGTAAGCACTCCGACATGAGCTTAAAATCTCCATTTCGGCCATGCTCAACTTCTTCCACTTCCATAGCCCTATAATTTTCATCACAAAAAGTAGAATCATCATAGCGGGGGCTTGGGCAGGAAAGGACAAATAATCACAATCATCCCAATGACCATTTTGAAAACCACACTTATCACAAATACTCCACTCATGGGTTTGCGATTGTGCGCACAATCCACCCCTAGGAGAATTAAACAATTTTGCCACGAGTGTGGTCCTCCACAATAAGGACAAGGGTCATTAAAGTATGAACAACTACCATCCGACCAATTTTCATTAAATGATGCCATTTTTCAAAAATAAGAAAATAAACAAGAAACTAACAAGAAAAATTGACCAAGGTAAGAAAAATGAATTACACAAATATTCACAAGTTTGGACCAAAGCACTTACGCTTATTTCTCAAACAACTTAAATTACGCCAAATTGTTCCCCGGCAACGGCGCCAATTTTGATGACGTCCAAATCCACTACTAAAAAGTAAATGGACATGGTTGCATGCAATATAATATACCAAACTATGAGTCGGGGTCGAATCCCATAAAGAACAATATGTAGGCGATTAGGAATGTAAGAAAATTATCGCTTATCGCGCAATGCCAAACACTAAGAATTTGGTGTTGAAAATGTTTATACCTAAATGCAGAAATGTAAACTAACCTAGAAAGCAAGTAAAATGATCAATGGCTATAAGTATGGATGCATCGGAAATTACACTCAAGTAACGATCCAATGTATTTCATGATTTTACAAATATGAGCGAATTTATGTCAATTAGCCACGGGTAATAATTCTATATTAGCTTCTTCCGAAGACTAACAAGACTTCCCAATTGAATTATTCCTAAAACAATTAAGAGATTAAGCACATCCGGAATGGCTACAAGTAGTTCAATCCTATCCCTAGGTAGAATCTATAAAATGAGGGTTAACGCCTCAAGTTCTTGTTAATTAATCTTTCCCAACCCCAAATTATATTTTTCAAAATTAATTCGGAGTTAATGGGCAAGTCCTAGGGTTAGCTAATCCCTTTGGAAACATTAAAAAACAGGAATAATTAAAGAAACAATAACTCACTTCATAAAAGGATAAAAATCATTCAATACATAAGCACAACAAGGTATTTAATCCACACTTTAAATATGAATACTTCCATAAATAAGATTTAAGTGTTGGAAATAAATACTACACACTTAAATATTCAATACAAAGCAAGGAAATGAAGAAATAAACATAAATGGGTAAGAAAATCTTAACCACAAGCTTCAAATCTTCAAGACCCAAGTGTGTGTGCAAACCCTCGCTTCAAGACTTGTTATTCTCTAGTCTATGCAACTGAAAATAAGCCAACGATATGCCAAAGACCTTTTATAAATGAGCCTAGTCGGGTATTAAATGGTTTGGGGATCAAAAACGTGAAATTCCATTTCTGCCCAAATTTCGCCCAGATTTAATGCACCGCGATCGCGTGAAATTAATTGCGATCGCGTAGAGTCAGCTTCAGAACATCTCTGATTGCAGACCCACATTTGTGGTCGCGTAGAGCATTCCCAGGGTTGTGACCAATTCCTTCTATGTGATCGTGTAAACAGCTTTGCGATCGCGATAATTGTTTTTCCAGCCTTCTGCGATCGCGTTCCAATCCTTGCGATCGCGAAGAGTATCAGGCATCAGTCAATTTTCATCATTTTGGCACATTTTGACTTGATTTCTTCCATATCTTCTCCAAATCACATGACACCTGAAAATTGCCAATAAACCTCAGAAAATGTCCTAGTTTCCTACCAAAATTATGCAAAAGTTTAAATATTAAGAGGAGATAAGTTAGAAAAATACCTACTTATCATGAAGACAAAGAGTAGGCATTACCACCTTGAAGATCTTTGAATTGTTTTTGAAAGATTAAGAAAATTCGACCTGAAGATGAATCCACTCAATTGTACATTTGGAGTTACCTCAGGAAAGTTTCTTGGCTTCATTGTGCGTCATCGTGGAATTAAAGTTGATCTTGCAAAGATTGACGCCATTCAGAAAATGCCTAAGCCAAAGAACTTGAGGGAGCTTCAAAGTCTCCAAGGAAACTTAGCATTCATCTGGAGGTTCATCTCTAATCTAGCTTGATGGTGTCAACCCTTAAATCATCTACTGAGGAAGGATATCCCTTTTCATTGGGATCAGTCATGTCAAAATGCTTTTGAAAGCATCAATAAATACTTGCTGAATCCACCTGTGTTAGCAGCGCCAATGCTTAGGAAGCCATTGATACTCTACATCGCGGCACAATAACGTCACTTGGAGCACTACTTGCTCAAAAGAATGAGGAAGGAAAGGAACAAGCCTTGTACGACCTTAGTCGAACTCTAATAGGAGCTGAGTTGAACTATACGCCTGTTGAGAAAATATGCTTAGCGTTACTTTATGCGATAAAGAAGCTAAGGCATTATTTTGAAGCATACACCATCAAACTCATCTCTCGAGCAGATCCCGTGAAGTTTGTGATGACTCGAACTGTTCTTTCTAGACGCCTAGAAAGATAGTCCATATTGTTTAACCAATACGAGATCACATACATACCTCAAAAGGCTGTGAAAGGACAAGCACTAGCCAATGTTCTGGCTTATCACCCTCTTCCGGTGGAATGGGAGATTTCGGATGAGTTTCCAGATGAAGACATTTTGTTCATTGAAGAACTTCCACCATGGACAATGTTCTTTGATGGATCTGCACGTCATAACGGTGCGGGGGCAGGTACTGTGTTGATCTCTCCAGAAAGACAAGTCTTGCCATTCTCCTTTGTTTTAGGTGAAACATGCTTCAACAATGCCGCAGAGTACCAAGCATTGATCATCGGTCTCGAAATGGCATTAGATATGAAGATTCTACAGTTGGAGATCTATGGCGACTCTAAGCTGATCGCCAACCAACTTTTGGGAAGTTACGAGGTAAAGAAGGAAGATCTCTTGCCATACCATCAATATGCTTCTGTTTTACTTGAAAGGTTCGACCAAGTGTTCTTAAAACATATCCCAAGAGAAGCAAATCGCAGGGCTGATGCTTTGACTAACTTAGCCACAACGATGGCACTTGGAGAGAATGAGTCAACAAAGGTATATGTGTGTCATCGATGGGTTATTCCTAGACTTCTTAATCTTCAAATCAACGAAAGACATCACACATCTATTCGAGTGATTGAAGAAGAAGATTGGAGGCAACCACTAATAGAGTACCTTGAACATGGAAAGTTACCTGAAGATCCGCGACAAAGAACAGACATCAAACGAAGAGCACCACGATTCATCTTCTATAAGGGGACATTGTTTCGCCGCTCTTTTGAAGGACTATTCTTACGATATCTTGACAAAGAAGAAGCTCGTCAAGCGATCGAGGAAGCACATTCTGGCTCATGTGGAGCATACCAATCTGGTCCCAATCTCCATTTCCGCATCAAGAGGATGGGCTACTAGTGGACGACAATGGTGAAGGATTGCATGGATCATGCCAAAAGATGTCAAGCATGTCAATTTCATGCCAACTACATCCACCAACTTCCAGAGCCTCTTCATCCAACTGTAGCTTCATGGCCTTTTGATGCATGGGGACTTGACGTTGTTTGGCCACTTCCAAAGTCATCAAAGGGGCAGATCTACATATTGGCCGCGACAAACTACTTCTCTAAATGGGCTGAAGCTATTCCACTCAAGGAGGTGAAAAAGGAAATCGTTGTCGATTTTATCAAGTCATATATAATTTTTAGGCATGGCATACCAAGATACATAATTACTGATAATGGAACGCCATTTGACAATAAGCTCATAAAGAGTCTGTGCGAGAAGTTCGGTTTCAAATAACATAAGTCTTCAATTTGTAATGCACCCGCCAATGGCCTTGCTGAAGCTTTTAACAAGACACTTGCTAACCTTTTGAAGAAAGTGGTTGCAAAGAACAAGAGAGACTGGCATGAGAAAATTGGTGACGCTGTGGGCATACCGGACAACCTTCAGAACTGCTACACAAGCAACTCCTTACTCTTTGGTATATGGAGCAGAAGCAGTCCTTCCGTTGGAGCAACAAATTCCATCATTTCGGAACGCAATCCAAGAAGGGCTCACGTCTGAAGAGAATGCTCAACTTCTCTTAGCAGAGTTAGAGGCATTGGATGAGAAAAGATTGGAAGTGCAACAAAAATTGGAGTGCTATCAAGCTCGACTAGCTAGAGCCTTCAACAAGAAAGTGTCGTCACGATCATTCCAAGTGGGAGACTTAGTCCCAGCGGTTCGATGACCCATAATCCTCAACAAATGCATAGGCGACAAGTTTAACTCAAAATGGGATGGGCCATATGTTGTGAAGGAAGCCTATTCAAGTGGCGCATGCAAAATCGTTGATAAGGATGGTCTTAGAGTTGGTCTGATCAATGGAAAATTTCCTAAGAAATACTTCCCATGAAAGTCACCTGCGCTCCTCGACGTACGAGCCTAAATTGCAAGTCATGTGTCACGACCCAAAATCCACTAAGGGTCATGGTGGCGCTGGACACCGGTGTCAGGCAAGCCAACTAAAAATACTTAATTAAATTCCAATTTCAGTGTTTGTTGAAAACATTTTCCTTATATATTTAAATAATAAATAATAAATTTACAGAAATAACCATGGAGTCTTTAACAAACTTAATATTGAATAATCCAAAAACATCCCAGAATCCGGTGTCACAAGTGCATGAGCTATTTCTAGGAAGCAATACAATACAACAACCGTCCGGAATACAATGGACAGAAAGTAAATACAATACGCTAAAACAGACTATACTAGCTGTAGGTCGCCTCAAGAAATGCAGCTCACCTAGTCTCCGTATCATCCACGCTGCTACGCCCAGTAGGCCACTAGAAGTACATGTGCCTGTGCAATAAAAATGCACAGCAAGTGTAGCATGAGTACGAAAACAACGTGTACTCAGCAAGTATCCCGTCTAATCTCGAAGAAGTAGAGACGAGAGGTCGACTTCGACACTTGCTAGTGGTCCAATAATAATATGGTGAAAATGTGAGGAAAACATGGATTTATCTAACAATTATAACTCATAAAGCCAGAAAGCCGGTAACACCTTCTCAATTAACAAGGAAATTTCCAAGATTTAATTTTCATTATCTTTATAAATTTATATAGGGCCATGAAAGGCAATATCAACTTCAATAAGTTTCAAGGTAAGCAATACAAGCATGCGCATATCATGCCGAGGACGTACGGCCCGATCCAACAGAAAATAAACTATGCACTGCCGAGGGTCGAACGGCGCGAACCATAGATGCATCTATTTAATCTACCGAGGCGTTCGGCCCGTTCCGAAATTAAACACACACAGACAGTCAATCAAGTAGTCAATAAGGAACAATTATCCAAAGAAAGGCCAATTCTTCTTTAAAGATTTTAGAAAATGAAGTTTAATCTTTTTAGAAATTCATTTACTAGTTCGATGTGATTTAAGCAATTCAAATGTCAATAAGTTTATAAATAATCCAAGTATAGCATGCTTTTGGGTCCTAGACTACCCGGACAATAGCATAATAGTAGCTACGCACGGACTCTCGTCACCTCGTGCGTACGTAGCCCCCACAAATAGGAGCATATAACCAATTAACTCATCTATGGGGACAATTTCCTCTAACAAGGTTAGAAAGGAGACTCACCTCACTCCGAAGATCCATAACCGGCGTTCCACGTCCTTCCGAAGACTCGAATCGATGCAAAATGCCCCAAAACTAGCCAATAATCATGCAAATCCATTAATATATGCTCAATTACTCATTACAATCCAATGTATAGAAACTCCTAACCCCGATCGAAAAGTTGGCAAAAATGTCGTCAGGCCCACGTGCCCGGATTCCGAAATTTCTCGAAGATAAGGTTTACCCATGAACTCACGAACTCAAATATATGATTTTCTCCTAATTCCATACCCAAAATCGTGGTCAAAATCCAAGAATACTAATTTTCTAGGTTTTCTTCAAAATTCCAAATTTCTACTAATTTACATGATTTTCCATATTAAAATCTTGATATTAATCCAAGTAATTAACTTGCAGTAGGTGGGAATCACTTACCTTGATATGGATGATGAAAATGGAGCTCCAAAATCGCTCCTAGGTCAGCTCCCATGGAGAAATAAGATGAAATGAGCCAAACCCATTTCTTTACACTTATACACTGCCCAGACGAGTCCTCTTCGCGTTCGCGAGACCCCCATTGCGTTCGCGAAGAAGAAAATTCCCAAAAATCATTTTTCAAACTCTTCTCAGACAGCCTCTAGTATAATGGCCATAACTTTTTGTATATAACTCCAAATTACAAATGGTTTAATGTTTTGAAAACTAGAAACAAAGATCTACAACTTTCTTGTTTCTTTCATCTCCCAATTCCTTATAGAGTTTGAGATATAAGCTGTCAAAGTCAGCCCTGTGCAATACAAATTTCTTCTTCATCTTTCCGGATAGCCTATAGTGTACCAGCCATAACTTTTCGTACACAAATCCAAATTCCAAATGGTTTATGTTTTTGAAAACTAGACACAAAGGGCTACAACTTTCATTTTTGGATCATCTCCAAATTCCTTACAAAATTGCGAGATATGAGCCTCCGAAGTTAGACCTGTGCAACAGAGATTTCCTTCTTCGCGAACGCGAGGACCTCTTCGCGAACGCGAAGAATAGAGTCCCTGAAGCCAAATCCTTCTTCGCGAACGCGGTAGGATCCTCGCGAACGCAAAGAACAATACCAGACACCAACATCAGCTATTTCCAAAACAGCCCGAAATGATCCGAAACCACCCCGAAACACACCCGAGGCCCCCGGGGCCCCATCCAATCACACAAACCAGTCCCATAACATAACACGGACCTGCTCGAGGCCTCAAATTACATCAAACAACATCGAAATCATGAATCGCACCCCAATTCAAGCTTAATGAACTTTAGAACTTCAAACTTCTACATTCGATGTCGAACCCTATCAAATCACGTCCGATTGATCTCAAATTTTGCACACAAGTCACATTCGACATTACGAACCTACTCCAACTTCCGGAATTGGATTCCGACCCCGATATCAAAAACTCCACTTCCGGTCAAACTCCTCAAAAACCTTCAAATTTCTATCTTTAGACAGATGACTCCAAAATTACCCACGAACCTCCGAATTCACTTCCGATCGCGCTTCCAACACCATAATCACCATACGGAGCTATTCCCAGACTCGGAATCCCAAACGGACATTGATTACGCTGAAATGCACTTCAACCCAAACTTATGAAATTCTTCCAAAAATGCTAACTTCAACAATAGGTGCCAAAACGTTCTCGAGTCTTCTAAAAACCGATCCGGACATACGCCCAAGTCCGAAATCATCATACGAACCTGCTGAAACCTTTGAATCCCGATTTCGAGGTTGTTTACTCAAAAATCCAATCTTAGTCAATTCTTTCAACTTAAAATTTCCGAAATGAGAATTCTCTTTCCAAATCAACTCCGAACTTCCCGAAATTCAATTCCGACCATGCGTAAAACTCATAATACCTGAAGTGAAGCTGCTCATGACCTCAAACTGCTGAACGACGCGCTAGAGCTCAAAACGACCGGTCGGGTCGTTACATTCTCTCCAACTTAAACATACGTTCGTCCTCGAACGTGCTAAGAACTGCGCTGGAGTTGTCCGAAGTCACTGTTTAACACCTCGTGCACCTACCCGTGCTACTACAACCCAGTAGAGCACATTAGATCGATCAATTCTGAAGATATTCCCTTTTATTCAAGCAAATAAGCTTAGAGCCCAATTCCAACATCCGAAATTCTCTGCCAGGCCTGCTTTCAATATATGAACACCGTACCAATCACTATACGAGGTACCAGAACATGATTGCATGCCTTTGCTGAATTCTCACCATGTACCACATCATTCACAGGACCATTATAACATTCTCTGATCATAATAACTGACATTTTCCAAATCTGATGCTCACAATGCACCTCATGGTATATATAAGTCTTGTTCCAACTCTGGCAATACTGCCACGACGGAAGAGATGGGTAGAAATTCATAACCAACTGCCGAGTCAACAAATCATTGAGTCTATACTTCTGACAAGAACCATTACCTCATTCTGAACCAAATAATGATCTTTGCTCTTTAATATACTTCATATAATTCGACTGCACTGATCCTAGATCCAATAATCTCGTCTCACCCAGTACAAACTGCTCAGTCAATAAGCCACCCCGGTCATGATCAAAAGTCTCATATGATGCCACAACGTGCTAATAGGCTGCCAATTCGAACGCGTTACTGAAGGAAGACGAACTCTAGAAGGAACTACTCAACTCACGCACTAATATGGACTTTCCTTAGAAAATAGGAAGCAATGCATACAAAACTAACATATAGAAAAACAATACTCAACATCACACTATTGCGGCGC